GAGATATGTGTACAATAGTCCCAAGAGCGAAGTATAATGTTCGAGGATGACTATCAAGAAATGAATCTAGATCCGGTGTTAGGCCTGGAAAGGTGTCAGGTAGAACAGGTCCAATTTCTTGATGGAGTGTTGAATTAGCACTTGATGTCTGTATTATAACGGTTCCGATCAATTCACCGACAATCATTTCACCGAACGCTAATTTAGCCGACATCATATAGGGTTAGGGTTAAGCATTTGATTAGTTGCAGGTATATATTTTTACTAAATTTCACCTGTCGGCTAAATGAGCTGTCGGTGAGGTGATTGTTGGTGAAATAATACGGACCCGTATTATAACATATATTATTAGGTAGTTTGCTAATTTTTGAATAATAAGCAAGAATTAATTATATAATCACCTCAAATCCATAGAAAGTATTGAATAACATTAAAATATTTGATGTACGTCCAAACTTGTTCCCATGTGGTTCTACACCTACAATTGCTCTTTGAACATTAAGACCCTTTACAGTGCTGCTTGTGCTCCAGGCCAGTCTTAAAGGTACTAGGATCTCACATCTAAATCTGTTATAGAAAGATTCGTTTTCCATATTTACACATCCATATGTGGGATCCGATACATATGGTGGACGAGATAAACCTACTAACAAAAAGGAAAATCGTAAAAGTATTTTTTATGGGATGGAAATTTTATAATAAATAATATTACTTTAATATGTACTTACCACTAAAAACCACTGGAAGTTCCGACAGCGGGCTTTCCCAATTTCCAAGCGAGATCAAAACACGGATAATTTATAAAATAATCGCAAAAAAATAAATCAGCGTTGATTTCTTCAGCAACTTTTTTATAAATATTATAAAAAGGTACGTAGGATTTCACAGAAACTTTTCTATATTCGACTAATAACCTCTCATAATTATCATCAAGTAAAGCTTTATTTAGTTCAGAAGATTTATTGTCGAAGCCAAAGTATTCGTTCTCGAAAATAACTTGTGGAATTGAACGATAATAAATGGATTGCGCCGTATAATTTCCCGGAGATATCAAAGTTATCTAAAGACCGAATAAATAAGTGAGAAAATTATAGATAAAATTATAAGTAAATAATAAAAATCATACATTGTATCCTCTATCCTTTAAAATCTTGCAAATCTCTAATATATGACGAAGATGAGTTTCTATAATGATTAAAATAAATTATACGTATTATGAATAATAATGAGAATAATTATAAAATAATGTTATATAATAATTACAATCATAAATAAGTTAAAATAATAAACTTACTTCCGACCATGGAAGTAACGAGTATATTCTTCGGCACATTATTTCTATTCACGACACATCTCGTTTAATCAAATTTTCAGATCCAAGAGACTGGCTTATCAAAAATGTAATAAATATGGCAAAATTCCAAAGAGTAAGCAATGAGAATAGATTTTTTAAAAGCATTTTATATGAAGTGATTTTTTGAGATTATTTTTATATATTAATTTTGAATACGCAATCACGCGTGTCGGTATTGATTACTCATGAATAAAATCATAATTACCTACTGACGAGAATTTTTTTACTTCTTTTGGATAATTAAATCAACAATTGATTACTTGAAAAATAAGTAATTACTCCCATTGATATAATGTATCAGCATGTATGTAGAGTCTAAAATAATACTTTTTTTGGAGTACGTTTTCTATAGTATATTGGATTAGAGTTAGATTTATTACTTAATCTAAAGTTAGGTAGTTTAAATTGATTACTAATTGATTGTAAATTAAAAATCACGGTTGCCATGTAAAATACTACAAGGCTTTAGACTAGGGTTGTCAAATTACCGTAATTTTACGTAATTTTGTGAAATTTTGCGTAAGTTTTCAGTAACATGGTTTTCATGTAATTTGTAAGGAACGTGATCATATGCGCATATGATTGGTTGGATTATATATTTGGTCAGTGAACTTTATGCAGAATCTACTGTAGTTCAATAATGCTAGCTGAGTTTTTCATAGTGCCAGTACGTGTGAAATTTACATGAAATTCAAGTTACTGAAATTTACGCAAAATTACATGAAATGTAAAATTGTAATTTTTGTAATACAACCCTACTTTAGACGACTCTAAAGGAAGAGTATGTGAATTTGAGTTAGTATATTTAAATAGATCACAAATTTTAGCATGACGTTACTCAAATTATTCCATATTAGGGTTGATCAGTTAATTTCAGCAACAGCTATTGTGGGAAACCCGACTACTATTTTTATGCAAACCTATTTTTGGCAAATTGCAAAAGTCGAAACTAAACCCGGCGAAGGCCGAAACTGGCGAAATTCTGGCGAAATGGCGAAGCTTTGGCTAAACGGCGAAACTTTGGCAAAACCCCCCTAGTAAAGCTAAAACCCCTGGAGAATGTCAAACATAGCGAAGATTAAATCTTCTAAGACTTTGAAAGACTAACCCATGTTGGTAAATCAAAATATTTTGCGGGTGGCTATTAAGCACAGCATGTGGTTTATAATATATAAAAGCAATAAACAAAGCGATAGCCTTTCACTTGTATTCGAGTACTATTAAAAGAAAACTAGAATTCAGGTTTTTGAAATTATAATAAATCAATTCAACCTTGAAAATTCAAAGCCTAAAATTTTGTTTTCTTTTAGTAGCGCTTACCTATGTATTAATATTATTTATGTAAAATTAACTTATCTAAATATTTAAATAAATTTATTGTTATATTGTTAAGATTTTCTCTTTAACATTTTATTGTTAAAACTTTAATTAAATACTATACAGATGTAAGCAATTTGTTAACATTATTATGATTGGCAATTATCTCCCAATGTTCTATTCTATCTAACTTTAAATCTCATTGTTGTATTATTGATCTATAATAGATCAAATATGTAACATTTAGATTATTGATCAAAAAGCATCATATATATTTAAGATTAATTTTTGATCTACTCACTAAATAAAATATAATATATTTTTTAACTATCCAAATTTAAGTGAGCCTTTGATCACTTTAATTGGTTAAGATCATAAATAAATTAGTTTGAACTTTATTTTAGTATTGAAAATTAGCAGCCCTATATAGTTACTATTTAAAAATTACTAATAAAAATATAAGCAAAACCTTATCTTAAAAAATATAAGCAAGACCTTATCTTAAAAAAATAACCAAAGTATATTTATAGAAATTAGTATATTTTAATCTTTAATTTTACAGACTGATATTTTAAATAATAGGCAATATAAAATATATAATGATAATAACTTGAATATATATTATATTTGTAAACTCAAAATAGTAGTTATCTAATATATAGTAAAAATATCTTAAACAAAAACTCTATAATTAATAGTTTGTATTATTTTATACAAGTTGTTAATAATTTTGATTATTTATTTACAATATTAAATAATAATGAAACAGCATAACACAAACAAATATAAAGTAGATTAGGGTCTTATAGTTTAGTGGTCTAAGCATCTACCAGAGTAAATAATCAATCATAAATGTTACTACTACTACAATTCTCAAAAATCACCAATGTGAATGACAATATTTGATTCCACAAATGTTCCAGAATCTAAGTCTTAACAAGCCAAATCGAAGTTACAAATCAATTCAATTTGTCAAACTGAGTCTTGAATAGGTTATTAAAGGTTGAATTCAAAGAATACTTTACAAGGAAATTTAGATAAGCAGATACATTTTAGTAATTAAGAGTGGACGAGAACTGTCCTTTTATTTATTGAATTCATGGTTTTTATATACATTTTATTTTTCAAGAACATAGACACCAAAATTTTAACGTTTATACTTAAAATCCAACGTTTACATGAAAATTTGGGTGTATACTCCATAAAATTATGTATACACTGAAAAGTCTTAAAATAAAGTCTTTGTGTAATCATGTATATGCGAATTTTTCAGTATTTATATGATTCTTTTGATTCTCATGCAGCTAAGCCAGTAAGCCACCTTAAGTTTCCAAAATACTATAGAATAGTTCATTTATAGAAAAATAAAATGAACTCGATTATTGCTATGAAAATAGAATTACACTAAAATCATATACATATTTAGAAAAAAGATAAGAAAAATTTTATTCTATTAAGTTATATTACTGACTAATTAATAATTCTATCCATAATAATACGTATCGGTATATATCTGATCAAGGCCAAATCTTACTAATAAAAATAATTAACTATAATTGATAAGGTCAGATTTTCTCTTGGCATCACTCATATACTAAAAATTTAAATTCTTTTACTATAATAAATCTATTTTTTACTAAGATAACCTATCCTCATCTAAGTAAACTTGTTTGTCACAAGAATAAAACACCAAAAAACTATTAGTAAACCATGGTCAAATCGGAACAACAAACAAGAATAAATTATATGTTTCTAGATATATTCAAGAACTAAGACTAAATGTTCAAAGATTAAAACTAATCTTCATCCTAGGTGATATCACCCAGTATTATAAAATTTTTATTTAAATCAAAATTATTTAAGAATTAGGTCAGCCTTGGATTAGGTAGATATACAAAAAGTTGGTGCTGAAAACTTTTGTTTAAAAGCCAAATATTTTCATAAAAAGATTTTTGAGTTATTAAAATCTTGTTAGTTTTTTCTTTTTTCACTGTTTTGGTTAAAAAAGATCTTGCAAGTTGATTGGCTTTTATACAACTGTGTGATATCACATAGGGTAAAAATTAGCAATAGTCATGTTCAAAACCAGTTTGAATCATTTTTTAAGAAAAAAATACATATGTTATTTGATAATACAGTTTTATTAATAACATGTGAATCATAATGATTTTACATTGATTAATACAAAATACAAAAATCATTAGAGACTAGAGTATTATCATTAAAGTGTAAATAAAAAGTCTAAAGAAAATACACAGCAAAAACGTCAGATTTGAGATGACAATTTACAAACCCTATCACAACTTCTTTACCTCATAGTTACATCTATCATAGAAATATTTATTTTGCACAAGCTTTATATTTAAAATCTTTATCACTTGTCTCTTCTTATTATTGTATCCTCATTACTGCATTATGAAGATTGTTATTACTGAATCTTATCCAATAATTAAACTATATTGTGTATTATATAATTAACCCAATACTATCAATTGCCTGCCTTATCTACACATCTTTACCCCTCCTTTATGGCCAATTAAAATACATGTTAAACTTTGTCTCTCATGATTGATATATTTTAATATTTGGATTATTAGATATTACTTTGAAATTAATTTCATTACCAGAAATACATAATTTAGTGTATTGTTCAAGCAAAGCGCATCTTCTAATACTTTCTCTACTTCTGATGATATAAGATTATTTCTGCTAAGATATAAAAGAGCTAGCATGGTGTTATTGCAAAATGCACCTGCTAATGTTTTTTCCACCTTTTGATCCAAGACTATTGTCGCAAAGAATCAAAAAAGTCAGAGTAGTGTTCTTGCAAAGTGCATTTGCTAATGCTTTTCCCACTTCTGACCCAAGATTATTGCCACTAAGGTCCAATTATTTCAGTGTAGTGTTCATGCAAAGTGAATATGATAATGCTTTTCCTCTTTCTAATCCAAGATTATTATCTCTAAGGTATAAAAAAGCCAGTGTGGTGTTCTTGCAAAGTGCATCTGCTAATATTTTTCAAACTTTTGATCTAAGATTATTTTTGAAAAGATGTAAGTAGTGTTTTTGCAAAGTGCATCTGCTAATGCTTTTCTTCCCCTTGATCCAAGATCATTATTATTAAGGGCCAAATCTTTCAGTGTAGTGTTCTTGCAAAGTGAATCTGCTAATGCTTTTCCTCTTTCAAATCCAAGATTATTTTGTTGGAGATACAAATAAGTTAACATTGTGTTCTTACAAAGTGCATTTGCTAATGCTTTTCCAATATCAGATTCAAGTTGATTATAACCACAGTCAAAGCAGTCAGCGTGGTGTTTTTGCAAAGTGTATTTGCTAATGCATTTTCTCCTTCTAATTTATGTCTATTATAGTAAAGATCCAATGAAGTCAGCGTGGTATTCTTGTAAAGTCCATCTGCTAATACTTTTTCTGATATCTGATCCAAAATCATTATAGCTAAGGTTCAAAAAAGTTAGCGTAGTATTTTTGCAAAATACATCTGCTAATGCTTTTCCTTCTTCTATTCCAAAATTATTATTACAAAGATTCAAATCTTTCAGCATAGTGTTTTTGCAAAATGCATCTACTAATTCTTTTCCTCCTACTAACCCAAGATTATTACTACGAAGATTCAAATCTTTCAGCGTAGTGTTTTTGCAAAA